ATCCAAATTAATTTCACCAATGCAAAAAATACACAAATTCAAACTATAAAACAGAAGAAACAATTTTGCTGTGAATCTTAAATTGCTCTAAAAAATAAAGTCTCTTAAAAAAAAAGAAGACAGATATGAGTGGATATTTATTGAATCTCTGAAGGGGCAAGAGACCTTTAAAGTTTAAAAAACAATGAAAGAAATAAAAAGGAAAAGGATATTCAGAATCAACAACATAAAAATGTCTGTATTTCATAAATAAGAATACTTTATATATATATATCAAATAAAAAGGCAAACGTACTAGAATATATTTCAATAAATATATAAAAGGATTAGTCTCTTTTTAATGTATTAAAAATTTATACAAATGGATAAGTAAAATACCAATAGTGTGATGGATAAAAAACCATGAATAAACAAAAGAGGGAAATACCAATGGTCAACTAATGATTAAAATCATTCACTGTCACTACTAATAAAGAAATCAAAACTGAAATACGGTTGCTTGCCTTTCAAGCTAGCACAGATACCTGCATTCGCCTCCTAGCAGGGATGCCTCCCTACCTCAGTCCACTCTGCACTGCGGAGTTCTATGCCACAAATCACATCGCGACAGCACCTGCCATGACACTCATTGAAAGCCTCCATGATGGTAATCAGGAGGAAGTCTGAGCCCTTCCACCTGGCACATCTGCCTGACTCCCCTCTAGCCTCGTCACCCACCCTTTCTCCCACACATCTCTCAGTTCCAAATACATGGAACTTGTACGGTTGTTTCCAGAACTATTCCACACCCCAGTACCTTCATCCATGCCGCTATCAGTCCTGGAAGACCAACCCTCCTCCTCACCCTATGCCCTCAGGAAGCCTTTCCTGATGCTTCTGGTCTCCTATGGAGGTTCTTTTCCATGATCCTGTTGCACCCTGTCACTCCAGGGTCACCACACAGAATCACATGCACTCGTGTTATTTGTCTTTCTCCTTCACCGGTCTGTGAGTCCCTAGGGAACTAGGTCCTACTCATCTGTATGGCCCCAGCACCGAACCCAGGGCTGAGGGTGTACATGTGTGTCTCTGTGAGTGGATGGATGGATGACATCTGAGCAAGCTGAAGCGAGAGATGACTGAGAATGGGCAGGGCAAGGGTGGGTGCCTTACCTCCCGAAGGGCATTCTGGGCTGCACAGTACCAAGCTCGACTCACGAGAGAGGCCTCTTTCTGATCTGACAAAGGCAGGAAGCTCAGAATATATGTAAGCATCTGAGGGGAAAAGACAGGGCATTGGGGGCACTGTTAGAGCTGGGAGTGGTTTGAGAACCTACTCCAGCTGACAGCACAGTGAGCCGAGGGCATCCAGAGTTTATTTTAGATCGAAAGATTTGTGGCGTATTCACCCCCCCTCCCGGGGCTCAGGCATCTTTACTGTGAATGAACCATTCCTGAGCCCCATTTGGGTGCGAGGCTTGTACAGGCTTATCCACGGTGCAGTCTGATTAGAATCAAACCTTCCTGCCCAGTTTGGCGGAGAGTCTGGGCATTGGGGCCAGTTATCTGACCCTGTCAACTGACCTTTCTGGACATTGTTTTCCTGATCTATAAAACAGCAATTGTAAACAGGAAATAACAAAAAGAAAAAAAAAAAGGCAATTGCAGTGAGAGTTAAATGGGCCATTGTGAGAATAACCGTGAAGGGTATTGCAGAGGACTTAGAACATAGCCAGTAAAAACTTCTCCTCTCATCCTCAGGAAGTCACAGCTCTTCCTTCTGCCTTCATAGGTCAAGATCCAGGACCTCACTCTATCATCTCCATTTTCTTGGCTGGCTGTTCAGATATGATCCCAGTGGGGCCAGCAGGTTGTGTGGTGGTTAAGGTGCTGGGTTCTCACATGGTCAACCACAGTTTGAGTCCTGGACCTGGTGACTTGAAAACCACACTGGGCGCATGTGTGTGCATGCCCAAAATCCTGGGAGGAAAAAGGAGAAGGGAGGGCGGCATGGCCATGTCCCCAGGGGGGTGATTTCTCTGTCTCTCTCTGGCAAGAGCATGCACCCTATGGCAAAAACTCAAAAAAAGGGGGAAAAAAAAAGATATCCCAGCAAAACTCGGCCTGATAGGCTCAGGCCCTTCCTCTGCCAACGTTTGTGAGGTTCAGGATGGTGAGGTTGGAGGCTCTAAAGAAGACTGGGAAAAGGGTCACCTAGAAGGCCAGAAACAACTAGATATTAACTATTTTCTTCTAGAATCTCCCCTCCTTGAGTTCTGTGACACTGTTTTCTAGGGCTTCACCCAACACTCCAAATGCCCTGTTTCTGGATTCTTCTGTAGCTGTCCAGGCTAAGGCCAGGGTCTTTTGATCTTCTGTTTACTAGTACAGGAATAACTGACAATTCAATAGCCCCACATTGTCCCATTATCCAAATGCTAATCCAGTACTACCAGTGGTCCCCTGAACCCTTCACCCAAATGTTTCACCATTACCTTAATTTTAACCAGAATTTATAACCTGTCTTCAGTGCAAAACATCCCACCTCCTAACTTCCCCTTCAACGCCAGCAGTTCACCCCACCTAAAGATCCTGAATGTTGAGAATTCTTCGTTCTCTCCTGTGTCTTGCTGCCAGATAGAGGTAGAAAGCACCGGCTTTAAACAAGCTAACCTAGACCCAGTCACACCCCAGCTCCACCCCTCCTAGCGCTGTAACCTCAGGCAAGGAACTTTAGCTCTCTGAGCTTTCGTCCATATCTGTAAAATGGGGGTATTAAAAAAAATCTAGATCATATTCTTATGTGGTATTCAGTTGTGTGTGTGTGTGTGTGTGTGTGTGCACGTAGTATTGCTATGACTAATTATTACTAATTATTTCTACCTTTTGTTTTCCCTTTTTATTTTTAAGAGAGATTTTTGCTATAGGGTGCATGTACTCGCTGGAGAGAAAGAGAGAGAAAAAGAGGGAAATCATCCCTCAGCGGGGGATAACTATGCCATAATCCCTTCTCCTCCATTCTCTTCTTGGGATCTTGGGCATGCATGCACACATGCCTGGTGTGTTTTAAGTCACTAGGTCCAGGACTCAAACCATGGTCAACTGTGTGGGAGTCCAGCGACGTAACCATTACGCCACCTGCTGGTGGTCCCTGTTTCTACCTTTTCCCTTTTCAACTTCATCACTTTAGCTTAGATCTTTACCATCCCAGACCTCAATTCCTTTCACAATCTCCCACCTGACTCTCATTCATTCAAGTTCATTCTTTCTAACCCATTCAGCACACTGCACATAGTTAATTTTCTTAAAAATACTTTTCAGTTTCAGCACGTCCCTGATGAAAACCATCAGGGTTCCCCAGTACTCTGAGGACAAAATCTCCACTCCTGGGTCAGCACTGCCTCCATGCCTGCCTACACCAGCTAGTCCCAGAGCTGCCCATATCAGTCTCCCCACTGTCCTCCAAGCACAGCAGATCTGTTTCCTTTTGCCCATGTGGCCTCCTTCCCGGGATGCCCTTCCTTAAGCTTAACTTTGCCAGCCCATTTTGATCTCTCCTTCCATTTTTGGAAGTCGAGCACACAAGAGGTGCTCAACCAATACTTACTGGATTACATTAAGGATGGACAGTCCTCTACCTGTATTTTCCCAGAGGTTTGCTCAGAGAAGGAGTGGGAGATAAAGCAGGTCATTATTGAGAGGATGACGACTAGAACAGTCTTCCCCACGGCTAAGTGTGGGGAAGGATACCGATGGAGACTGGGAATTACCAAGCCCCCATTCCTAAGAGGAGGCAGGTAAGCCTGTCTGAGTTAAGACACGGCTATCCTGTCTTCTGGGGCCCAGCAGCCAACATAAGAAGCAAAGGGAGAGAGGAACAAACCTGTCATCACTGGAGGGTTGGAGAGGGCACTACGATTCAGTAAGCTGAGAAAGGAGTGGCCTTTCTAGAGACTAGAGGGGAGAAGGATGAGGATGGAGTGGCGATCCCGTGAACCCATTCCAGGTTCTAGAGATAGGACTACTAGGTAGGCTACTAGAGATATGACTTGTCATCCACAGACTATGGGAATCTTCTCTGGGGCCATGGGCGAAAGAGAATGCCACTGCAAGGGGCTCAGTGAGGTAGGAGGAGGCCTAATTTTGCTACGGAGAGGGAGCACCATTCCAGGACTGAAGGGATAGAATGGACACTCTCTGGAGGGCATAGAGAGGACTGCCAAACCTGGGGGCAAAAGGGATGGAGACGCCATTCCAAGAGGTCACCAGGGACAAAACTTGTTATTTTCCCAGATGATAGGGCCACAGCCGTCTTGCCCCTGGCTAAGGGGAAGGAGCAAACATCCCATAGGCGTGAAAAGAGGTAGGGACGGCCATTATTAGGGTCCTAGAGAGGGGAAAGCAGACCTGCCTTGGCTACAGGACCTCAGCGCCCATTCCCGGAGTTGATGGGGGAGGGGAAGCAGTGTTTCCACTGTCAGGAAGAGAGCAGCCATCTCTCGGGAAGAGGAACTGGAGCGACTATCCCAAGGGGCCAATGGGGATAAGATCAGTTACCATTCCGGGCCGACGGGATGGAGCGGACATCTTCCAGAACCGGGGCGGGGGGGGTGGGCACAGCCATCTCAAGGGAAGGGGGTGGGCAGAGGGCCTGTCCTCGCTGAGATGACAGAGCAGCCATCTCCTGGGGACGATGGGGAAGGAGAGGATGAATGGTCTCCCAAGCTAAGGGGACGGAATGGCCCAAAGCCGGGGCCGTTACCCAGAGCCTGCAGGTCCTGGGATCCGCCGGGCGGGTGGTTTCCGCCAGGCGGGAGGAGCCGGGCGAGCTGACAACACATTCCCTGAGCCCGGGACCCCGAGGGCGGGGCCTGTCCGGAGCTAGGCCTGAGGGTGGCTTCCTCTCACCTCCAGGGGCAGCGACTCCGCCATCGCATCCCTGCCGCCTCCGCCCCCGCGCAAGGCTTTCTGGGAAGTGTAGTCCCATCGGCACCAGGGGCGGGGCTTGGGAAGGAAGTGGAGCCCACTTCCGTCCCAGAGCCTGACGACTTCGGTCTGCACCGGAATTGCTTGTTCGGCCGATGTGGGATCTACTGACTGCGGTTTCGGTCGTTCTGCGCTGTTTTCCCGACTGGGTGTTTGCATCGCACCATGGCGGTAAGGAGGCGGGTAGGGCGAGGTCCGCATCGGCAAGTCGCCCGGGGCTGCGGGAGTGAAAACAGGGGAAGGGTGTGAAGGCAATCCAGGTAGGCCTGAGGGGGGCGCCATCCAATGGCAGACGGTACTAGAGCGGCAGGAGGGGGGGAGGGAAGGGGGGGGCGGGGGGGAGGA